GGAATGAAATCAACTTCTGTCAGATGCTGAAGACCACCAAAATTGCCAAATTTTTCATGTTTCCTCCACTTTGCTCGCTGGTTTTGGAACCAGATCTGCATACAGGCAAGAAAGAGAAGGCACGGAAATGAACAGGAGATGAAGGAGGAACTGCTCCCATCCAACTACTCTCCCTGCTTTCTAAGTGAGCATCAGAAAACATTGACTTCCAGCTCAGAATCAGGGGCTGAATCTGAAGGAAAACATTGGGTTGGACACAGCACCTTTCACACTTGCACAGCAGGTGGGATCTCTGGACTATCATGACAACCTCTTTTCTCTCGCAGCTCACAGAAGAGCTAGGATCTCCCAGTTCAAGGAAAGACAGTGTCACAGGGTGCAGCAGGTCTTCCAGGGCTCTCCTGGGAAAGCAGATCCTTTTGTGGACAAAGCTTTGCAGCAGTCAAGGCACACAGCATTCTGTTTTCCCTAGGGGGTGTGATTTGTTGCATGACAGGGATCTTTCACCCTCTTCCCAAGCAAATAGTCTGGGAAAAGACCCACCTGGATGTTTTGCTGGGCTGCAATAAAAATGTGTCACCACTGGAGAGTCAGTAACAGGATTCTTGCTATATTTAGCTGGTAACATTTTGAAATTCATGTAAGAGACCTAAGCAAAAGACCCAAGGGGATGAAATCTTCTAAATCACTCAGCAGTCTAAGCATATTATCTGCCATCTCTTTTGCTCTGGAAAATAGACAACTAATTTTCTCAGGGGAGTTTATTTCATCTATCAGCTGATTTGACCAGTCTGGTTTCTGGATGAGGCACACAAATGTTTATTGTGCAGCCACACTAGTGCATCTTGTAGCACGGCTGTGAAGAGTTGAATCCCCCTTCCATTGAAGTTTCTAGCTGGCTTAGGAACTTGGTGTTTGAATGCAAGCAAGTGCCTCACGCAAACACAAGGTGTTAGTGATCAAAACCAGATGCTGCTGGATGTAAATATGCATGTATTTTAAACCAAATAATGAGCAGCTCAATTATTTCTGCATCTCTTGCCCAGGAAGTAACGGGAATGTCAGGAGCCCTCTGCTATATTGCTGATAGTTAGCAGTATCTGAGGTTACTGAAAGGACAGTTTTGTTTATCTGGGTTTGCATGTGTTTGAGAACTGCTTAGTCTGTATGAAGTGCTCCATTCCCTTCCTATCATGCAGGAGTTATATGGTGAAACAGCATCATAAAAATGACTCCTCTTTAACACTGACAAAATGATTCAGGGCGGAGGGGGGACTGAAGCCAAAATTCAACCTCTGAAGTGTTCCTTCCAAAGTCTGCACATGGGATAAAGTCCTCACTTCAGGGATTTTTTTTTTTTTCCAAATAAAGGTGAAGCTGTATTCACACACTGAACTGCTCTTTTTTGCCCAACCAGCTCTCCAGCACCTTTACCCCTAAAATGATTTCTCAATGTTCACCCTGAATTTCTTTTACTAGGATTTAAACCTATTTCTCCATGCTCTGTCTACCACAGATATCAAGCTGCTGATATAATTTATTCTCCGCACACCACTAACCTTCAATTTTCCAGCATTCCTGAGCTATGGCATTGAGACAGAACACAGTATTCCCATATGTATTCACAAAAGTCACACCAGTGCTAAAGCCAGGGACAAGTGCCACCTTAATCCTGCCTGAGACTTCACAAAAGACTCATTTGCCCTCTCAGGGGTCACCAGGTTGTCCAAGGAAACAAGGACTAAAACAGAGGGCAGAGGGAGGATGGCATGCCCCATGTTGTAGGAACAGCCTCTGTTGCTCTATAAGATTGTCCCTTTGTTTTTCTCTTGCAGATGCATGACCAATGATTCAGGGCTTGCTGTACTGAAGAATCAGCCTTTTCATTATTTTCCAGTCCTCTAATCTTCTTACCATTTCATAGCACTATCATTAAAGATTTTACTGACTATGTTGTTCAAATGCACCTTCGTATCAGTAGACAGTTCCTATGAGAGACCATCTTTGAAATATCCTCATTTGCAGTTGGACACCTGTTACAAACTAGCTTTTTGTCTACTAGCACACGCTGTCTTGATCTGCTCTGTTTTCTCAATCTAAGCAGGGTGTAGGACCAAGGCAAGATCCTTACAGTGACATGCCATCAATGTTATTACCTTCATCAACCAAATACATAGAAACATAGAATCATAGCCTCGTTTGAGTTGGAAGAGACCTTTTAAAGATCATCTAGTCCAATCTCCCTGCCATGGCAGGGACACCTTCCCCTAGATCAGGTTGCTCAAAGCTCCATCCAAACTGATCTTGAACACTTCCAGGGATGGAGCATCCACAACTTCTCTGGGCAATCTGTGCCAATGTCTTGCCACCCTCATTGTAAAGAATTTCTTCCTTATAACCAAAATAAATCCATCCTCTCAGTTTAAAACTGTCACCGATAATCTCATCATAAAAAGATGAGTTTGACAATATCTATTTTCTATAAATCAGTGTTGATAATCATTAAATATATTACCCTTTCTTTAATTCTTCATTAACAGAGACTGATACCAGCTCCATCACTGTTTTGCAAAAAATCAATGTTTGGCTGACAGGCCAGTCATTATCTGGTCATCCTGTTTATCCTTTAAATACTGACACGACATTAACTTTCTTCAAGGGCCCTGGAACTTCTCTTGTGCTCGAGGACTGGTTAAATATTAGCACTGATGACCCAAAGTGCTTCTCAAGCAGCTTTTTAAGAACTACTGGAGGCAAGTCACCTAGATGGCTGGACTTAAATATATCTGTCTGTAGCAGTTACTGTTCAACATTGTCCTTATGGAAAGTGTTTCATCATCATCGTGTGATACCACCACCTTATCTGACATATTTCCAAGAATAGAGCAGAAATTGTGACTGAATGTCTCTGCCATTTCTGCATGATCCTTGACAGTCCCACTGTTTCTATAAAGCAACAGATCAATGTAATTGTTCACTTTTTTCTGTTTGATCTTAATGGACTTTTACTGAATTTTTGATGATCCTTAATTTTTCTTACCAAAGCTTTGGCCTTTATCCTTCTGCTTTGTTTATTCATTTTTTATGATTTCTTGTTTCTAATGTTTACTCATCCAGTACTCTTCATTTTGTGTTGCACGTAGGCATGCACGCATGCAGGGATATAGTTCCATCCATGCACTTAAACTGTTTCCCAGCAGTCATGGCTTGGTTTCTTGATTGGAGGACACAAGCTTTTTGCACTGTTATGAAATGTTTCACTTGGCTACCCAAGGGTTGCTCACTCTTTTTTTTCCTGGCTAAATTATCTCTCTGAGGTGATTTGACTTATATTGCTTTTAGCTTTGTCAAAACTATTATTTCAAAGTATCAAGAACGTATACAGATTCTCTGCACTCTATTTTGTTTATGTTTGACGGATGCAATCAATCAAAATTATAGCAACTTGTAACTTGTACCATAGCTACTGATAATTTTTAATTGGCTTTTATCAGTCAAGACCAGGTCAAACACAGAATCTCCTGTGTCTTGTGTAACACCGTCCGAATTGGGAATTTGCCATCTGTAATTCACACACAAGGGGCTTTTTACTTCCTTTGCGTGCAGCTCAGGTTGATATTTCCCATGATAACTCTTTTTTTTTTCCCCTTTACAGATTATAAATTATTCTTTAAACAGAAGATTGTCCTGTTCTTTCATACGATTTGCTGTTCTGTTGGGAACACTGACTAGTAGCCCAGTTTGTGCTTTATACCATTGGAAATGCATTGTGGGTGCACTGATACTGCTAATGGGCATATTACGACTATGCTGTTCCAATTCTCCCTGTCACCTAACTATGAAGCAATATCATCATGGTTAGTTGATAGTCTCAGGCATGTCATAGTCAATAAACTGCTCTGTGTTGAACTTTGATTGTTAGAGTGGGATATGTGCATAGAAATACACTGATGACTCCAACTTTATGGCAAGTACAGAACTGCCTTGTGCAAAAATCATCACAACAGGGCCTGGTAAACACCACCGAATTCCAATACACAGTGGTATGCATATGTTAATGTAGCAGATTTCATATGCATTAAACATTTGGGGTCAATTTTGAGCTCAGTCAGCAAGACTACATTACAACTGGGGGGAACTGGATTAGTTTCCATGCACTAAAATTACAGCCAGGGCATTTATAGTCTGTGATATCAAAATACAGAATAGTAAGAAAGAATTTTCATTTGGGCAGTTATTTTCACTTTTTGTGAGACCCTGTAAAAGATGGATGTGCATGACAGTTTGTACTGGATGTACCTTAGTCTATAAAAGGTTGATAAATTATTAATAAGTATTTTCATAACTGGCTGCTCTGTCGCTACAGAGTCCAACAGGTTGCTCATAACCATCTGTAACTCCTATTTGCTATGCATTTAGTATGCTTAGAGCTTCTGTTAACCCCTTGATTAATCTCATTTAGTTAGTCCCAGCTGGGTGACAGATATTTTTTCCCTGTTTGTAAAAGGAGAACAGTGATACCAGCCTCCTCTGTAAGGTAGCAGAGAGGTCACGTATTTCATTAGCGTTGTTACCCATGCATAAACTATTAAGAACGTACTCTGAATAAAGAAATGGTGCAATGAGCTTAGCCTTTTGGAGACACACTGTACCTGAACTCTGGCTTCTGGGAGGTTTATCTTTGCTGCCAGTTGATTGCGAATATGGACATCCGGGTAATGAGTCACTTGAAAAATCTTCTCCAGTTCCTGGAGCTGCTCAGCTGTGAACGTTGTCCGGATTCTCCGTTTCCCTTTCCTCTCAACTGTGCAAACAAGGAAAGGTGTATCATATTTTACAGGAAAGGGCCACAGGGCCACAAGAAGATTCAGAGACCCAGCAATTTCTGTAAATTGCTATGCAGCTGGAATGGCATCTCCAATACCTTCTGGAAATGTACTTACCATGAGTGACTGTCTTCTGACCCAACAGTGAATGTGAATGAACTCCTTTATCACTCAAGGAGTGAGCAAAAAGTCTCCATTTGCAGTGCTAATTACATTGATCCACTGCATGTCAACAGCTACAAAAACTTAAGTATTTTGACCACACTAGCCCTGCAATGAGTTTGTCATCAAAGTCCTTTAGTGTTGGACCAAACTCTGACCCCTTTTTGTTCATGTCTGTCACATGCACACATCTGGTGTTAATTCATAATCCCTTATTAACTATTTGTGAAGAAACCCTTAATGTGAACGGAAAGAAAGAGGAGATACTCCATTTTCTCTTGGTGCTGTTCTCATGCCTGTAACTAATCATCATCTTTCTTTCAGCTCACAAATTTTTCATCCCTATCTTTTCTTCTCATACTGGCCTTACTAAGCTTTCCTCAAGCTCTGATGTATTATTTTAGCCCATCACCACTCTATCCATTTTCGATGAATTTACTCCACCTGTATGCCAGCAAGATCAAAGAGTACCCAAAATGTGTGAATACTGTGGAGGGAGATCAACCATTCCAGCCTGACTGACTGCTGCTCTCTTCTCATACCATTCCTTCAACAGTATTTAGCTATAGTCAGCAGTTCCACTGTAGTGTGACAGTGACATCAAAAACGTTACCTTACAAAGAAAAGTCATAGTATTCTCCTGACTGCACTGTTGTGGTGTGGGGACTTTCTAGACAAGCTTAACCTTAAGAACTACGAGGCCTTAAAACTCACGGAGCAGCATATGAGGAACTTTGGGTGCTCTGAATTCCTAAGCGGACTCTTGGGCTGCTCCACTCCTTCACCTGCTGCAGTGTGACTACACTAAAAGACTTTACCCTCAGCACTCCTACACTGTTTTGAAAATGCCCTCCTACACCAGCGTATTTTATTTAGATCATGAACTCTATGTGCTGCTCGGTGTAAGTCTGAAGAAGGTCTAGGTTGCTCTGAAATGATGCTGAAGGGCTGATGTCTTGCAAGGAGGAGGAGAAAGGAGTAGCAGAAGTGAGCTCTAATTGCTTTTGGTCTTCCATGGTCTGGTGAAATCTACCAATTCATACTATCTAACAAGATACTTGCACTTCCTAATGGGAACAGTTAGCCAGAGAAGGTTAGCTTAGTCCCTCAAGGAGGCTTGGTACTTTTTTCTCCTTTTATTCAATCATTAGCACAAACTTTTCCTCCTTGGCTAATATAAATTGGGCTCTGCGCCAACCAGAAAATGACATTTTTCATTCTGTAATTGAAACTTCATTGTGATTCTGTTTATGCAGAGAATAAGGAATAAAAAATTCTGTCCATTGACTTGGTAGGAAGATACCTAGGACACAATATCTGGGCACCACTAAGTGAATATACTCCATTGTGAATATTTCATGTTTTCTAAACCCTTCAGGTACTTTGAAAAGGAAACCAATCACAGAAGAATAACTGAGGAGCATCATTTACCATGAGCACTGTCAATACTCCCACATCTCAAAAACAGCCTAATAAAACTGATGTCCAACACAGTTAAATCCGTATCATTAGACTTTTCACTGGCCTATCAAAATACTACTCATTAGACTGCAGCCCCAAGGGAAAATGTTATTTACATTGAATCTTGCAGGCACTGTTGGGGCAGAGGTATGAAATGACAAATATTTTCGTGCATTTATGCTGAAGATAGCAATGAGCACCCTCTCCTAGAAGCCCTGATTACAAAATTACATTGACTTGAACCTTCCCAAAAGATGGCTGTAAGGGGGATTTATTGCTATACGGATTAAAAGGGAAATATAGGCTATTCGTGCCGAGAATATGAATCTCAGGACACTGCATTCCCTGTGGATGTGACAGAGCTAACAGTTCATAATGGTGTCTCTTGTCTGGAAGATTTTCACCTCACACCTCTCTGTGGGGGCTGGCCTCCGTATCCTCATGGGAGATAGTGCAGACAGGTAAGATTGAGTTCCAAGGTGATGCTTTGTCAAGCACATCATGTTCTGCCATAAGTAATGAATCTCTCTCCTATATTTGTATCATTACAATGTATAGTACCTATATATCTCTATCACAGAGCAATTCTTATAGTGGATCCAGACACTGAGTTGATTTTGTCCTGACTTTGTCATAGTCTCAGAAATTTGAGGCCTCCCTGAGATGTCCTGTATATCGCCCTGAACACTGAGTTGAGCTCCTGCCTCTTGCCATGGTAGGAGACTGACTCCACAAAACTCAGAGAAGCTACAGTCTACCTCCAACGTTTGCAGAGTGGAGCAAGAGATCCAAGCTCAAACAGTGACCACCTCCTTGTTCCTGTGGTCCTAACTGTAAATAAACATGTGGGATGCTGGCAGGGTTCTTGTCCTGCCAGGTTTTGTATGCCCAAGCAGTCTAAGTGCCTTATAGCAATCAGAAAGCTTTCAGGAGAAAGAGAACAGACCTATCCAACTCCTGGAAGATTAATGAATTAGAAAAAAAAAAAAAGGACTCATATATTTTTGAAAAATATATATCAGATAAATAAACTGAAATATAATTTCATGACTATGCAAAGCAAGAAAGACATTGTCTATATTTTAAAATCTAACATGTCCCATCAAATAATGTATGTAAAAAGGTGTATTTTAGTATTCCATCAGAATACAGTAAATAATGATTTAGTTCAGTATAGACCCTTCTGTCTCATACATTAACCAGACTCTACAGAATTGGGATGACTCAACTGGGCCATGATGGGACTGAAGTGAATGCCAAAGACCAGCTGGATCAGACCTCATCACAGTGGGCACCATACAAACAGCAATCATTAGTTCTTGCCTGTAAGTACGGATGATGACAGCCATCATCTCCTCTTTGTACTGTGGAATCGAAGCGAAGGACAAGACTTTTAGTGCCCAAACCAGAGAATACTACCTGAGCTAGAAAGGAATGGTTTACAGTATCAGATTGCGCTAGCTGCAGGACTCTTCCATAGAGAGTGTGTTCGTACACACCAGAGACAAAGATGATAATATGGATACCTATCCTTGGCTACCAGCTTAAGAAGTTGTGCGTACTGGCAAAAGACTTGGTGCAGAGTTAATTGGATTAGTCAACCTAGATAAACTCAAGAAATCATTTGTTACAAGCAATGCAATACCACTCTACAGGGCCAAGGGGTGGAACAACCTCAGTAGTGAAGATCATGAGTCTAGAAGGAGTCGCGAAGTCTACCCTGCAAAGAATATATCAGAATGAGAAGACAAAGGCTGTGCACAGCTGGTATAAGTTTAGAAAGAAACTTTCAGTTGAGCTGGATCCATAGCCTTGAACCACACAGTATTTTAAATTGTGCTGGAGTTGGGATGGGGAGTGGATCTGCCAGGTAATTTTTTACTGTACTCTGTCCCAGTGGCAGCTAAGAAGTGTCCAGAATTAGAGAGCTTGGCTTCAAAGAGAATAGGCTTGTGAGTTTCTGGTATCTCATATCAGCTGCTTTGGTAAGAAAATGACCCAGATAACTTGGTGACAGGTAAAAGAAACTCCCTATCAATTCACTCTCACATCCTCCACTTTTTTCCTTCTTGAAAGGTGAACAGTTTTACAGATGAGACTCTTACGTAAGGGAAGGATCTATGCAGTGCTCAGAAGTGTCAATCCTACTGAAATCAGATTTTTCAAAGCTGAAACTCATCAGATTAAACAAAATACAATAACATGAGGTCAGCTATGGGCCAGTAGAGACTGAAGGACAGGCTTTGATTTCAACTGGAAATGAAATTAAACTGCTAACAAAATAGAATCCTGTGAACTAATCAAGGCTTTTGCAAGTAGGAAATCTAGAGGAGTGCATTTTTTTCTGTAAGTCATCAGTCATTCTATTTTTGTTAAATAATTAAAAAACCACAACTATAAAAAATACAAAAAAATCTAGGACTGTATGTTAACATTTTCCCTTTAAAGACGAAACTTTCTTTGACTGTAGCTTTGATACTTCCCTTTGCCTTGGGATCTTAGCTTGGAGATCTCATAGCAAACAACAGCATTCAGAATTACAGTCTAATAAAGAATGTGGGTGGAAGATATAAGACTAGAAAGTGTTGGAAGTGTAACATTGGCTTTACAAACGTGGCTCTAGAGTCTCTGGGGAAATAAGACTCTGCCTGAATTTCCTGAGCTATTTTCTATGTAAAATCTGGGGATATTCAAGTGTGCTTTTTATGGTCTGTGAAAGTCATTTGCAGGTTAGCTGACTGCTGAAACCAAACCTGAAAATACCAGGCAGCTAAATACGTCAGCATTTGCAGATGCTTAGAGATACAGCTGTCTATACATTGCATTACTGTTGACATTGCAAGGGCCAGATTCTCCATGCTGATAAAGCAGTATAGCTCCTTTAAATTCAGTAACAGGCATCCTTTGTCCTCTGCAGATCTGGCTTTATTACTAGGTCAGACTTGGAGCAAGTTGAAATGTTTGAACTTTGTCAAAATACAGATTCTTCTTGAAGATGCGCAGTGAAAGGATGAGATCAATGGGTACAAGTTGCAGCAAGGAAAATACTGATCACATAACAGGAAAAAATGTTTTCACCGTGAAGGTAGCCTGAGACAGGAACACGGGCCTGAAGAGGCTGAGAAGTCTCCACCCTTGGAGATATTCTAAACTTGACCAGACAAAGGCCTAAGCAACCTGATTTAAGCTGGCCCTGCTTAGTGTTGGGGTTGGACAAGATGGTCTCCAGAGGTCCCTACCAGCTTACTTTATTATGTGATGCCTTACCTCCAACATCCACTTGGACTGAAGCTCTCCAACATTCCTTTCCTAAAAAGCAAGGGATTTTAAGGCTTTAAAACTACACACAGCTCAA